GCCGAGCCAGAAAATCCATTTTCAAGCCAACAACTCCCATAACTAGAGCCATTCTCATTAAAAGTAGGGAGACCTATGATCACCTGTATCGATTCATACTGTTCTAGGGCAGCAATGATATATCACATGTAGGAAAACCCAACCAAAATATTGTGGTGTACATAAACAGATTAAAATGATTAGAATCAATAGGAGAGTATAATAAGGAAACTAGATATAAAATTAACATACAAATCTGTAGGTACCTAGTAATTAAATAAATGAAAAACGATTCTATTTGCAAAAGTAACTAGAATAGGCTTGGCGCCTGTAGCTCAGCGGCTAGGGCGCCAGCCACATACATCAGAGCTGGTGGGTTCGAACCCAGCCTGGGCCTGCCAAACAACAATGACAACTACAACCAAGAAATAGCCAGGCATTGTGGTGGGCTACTTGGGAGGCTGAGGCAAGAGAATCACTGAAGCCAGTGGTTCTCAACCTGTGGGTCATGACCTATAGGAAGTGTATTAAAGGGCCACGGCATCAGGAAGATTGAGAACCACTGGCTTAAGTCCAAGAGTTGGAGGTTGCTGTGAGCTGTGACCCCAGGTCAACAGCTTGGAACTCTGTCTCAAAAAAAAAAAAAAAAAAGTGACTAGAACAGAACTACGTAGAAACAAACTTAAAACATAGAAGATATGTATATGAAGAAAATGACAAACTTGCTGGAGGATGTATGATAAGGAATGTATGCTATTTTTAGATGTGAAGACTAAGTATTGTATAGATAAGAATTTTTCCCAGATTAAATCACAGGTTTAAAAAATTACAGTCAAGATCTCAGGGCCAGGTCAGGTGTCTCACGCCTGGAATCCTAGCACTCTGGGAAGCTGGGATTGGTGTATTGCCTGAGTTCACAAGTTCGAGACCAGCCTGAGCAAGAGCAAGACCCCATCTCTAAAAATAATAGCTGTGCCAGGGCGAGACCCCCATCCCTAAAAAAATAGCCGAGCATTGTGGCAGGTATCTATAGTCCCAGCTACTTGGGAGGCTGAGGCAAGACAATCATTTGAGCCCAAGAGTTTGAGGTTGCTGTGAGCTGTGATGAGAATGATGCCACAGCACTCTCTATCAAGGGTGACAAAGTAAGACGCTGTCTCAAAAAAAAAAAAAAAAATCTCAGCCAGGTGCTGTGGCTCACGCCTGTAATCCTAGCACTCTGGCAGGCCGAGGGGATTGGATTGCTCTGAGCTCACCAGTTAGAGATCAGCCTGAGCAAGAGCAAGACCCCATCTCTAAAAATAATAGCTGGGCATTGTGGTTGCGCCTATAGTCCCAGCTACTTGGGAAGCTGAGACAAGAGAGTTCCTTTAGCCCAAGAGTTTGAGGTTGCTTGAGTTATGACACCCTGGCCCTCTACCAAGGGTGAGAAAGTGAGACTCTATCTCAAAAACAAACAAACAAACAAAAAACAAACCTCAATAAGCTATATTGAAACTTGGCAAAATGACTTAAAAAATGCATATGGAGGCCGGGCGTAGTGGCTCATTCTGTGAGTTTATTCACTGGAGAGGAAACAAATTTCAATTATATTGAAGTGCTCTCAGGTAAGTATAGAGAAATTGGCGGGATATAGTTGGTCTCCACTCCTGCCTGACTGAGAATGGTCAGGTGATTCTCACGCGTGGGATTCTGGGAGCATCTGGACACACATGGTGAGGCTGGATGGGTGCCTGTGGCGGTCCCCTGGGTTCTGAAGCAGAGCAGGCCCTCCCCACAGGTTTGCAGCCCCTGCACACTCACCTTAGCCATCAGCATCCTGTAGGCGTAGAGCTGCTTGCCTTTCCCCTTTCCCAAGGCTCCTTCGTACTTCTCCACAAATGCTTGGGCCTCCCTGGTTGGGGGCAAAGAAAAAGAACAGAAATTCAGTTAGTGCCTAACCGAAGGAAATCTGAAAGATAAAGGCTCAAACACAAGTGGCTGAAAGCCTTATGCCATTTTGCACCCCTGGTTAGAGTATAAAGTGCAGGAGGGTAGGGCATGTGGTCTGTTTCATCCACTGAAGTTTCTCAGATGCCAAGAACAGTGCTTGGCACACAGCAGGCATTTGTGGTAGGCACCTTTTGGCCCCTGTGATCTTTGTCTACTGTTCACATGTGACTATATTATGCTACACGGCAAAAGGGACTTTGCGGATATAATTGAGATTACTGACTCTAAAATGGGGAGATTATTCTGGATTATCTGGCTGGCCCCGAATTATTAATAATCACGTGAGCCCTTAAAAACAGAAGAGGAAGACAGAAGAGTCAGAGAGACATGTCAGAGAAATTAGAAGCAGGAACAGTCTTGACCCTCTGTGACGGGGCCCCCTCTCGAGGGGGCCACATGAAAAATGTGAGAAGAAAATGAATTCTGCCGGTAACCAGTGAGCCTGGGCAAGGACCTCAAGTCCCAGATGAGAACTGCAACTCTGTGGGTACCTTGACTTTAGCCCCATGAGACCCCAGCAGAGAATCCAGTCACACCAAGGCAGGAGTATTTAGACTACAGAAATCAGCAAATACTGCAATCTGGGCCCCTCCTAGCCCGCCCCTCAGAGAGCTGGATAAACCCAGCCAGGCAGGGGAGCAATGAAGTCCCCCTCAGGGTGGTGGGAGAAAGCATGGGGGAGCTGTGTCTGGTGATGGCTGTGCCACCTCCCACACTACACCCGCTCCACTGTCCTTGCTGCCTCCAAAGCACAGTACAGGGAGTTGACATGTATTAGAGTTGCCTTCCAAGCTGGGGTAAATCCTCAGGCTGGCTTTATTGAGATGTCTCAATGTCCTCAAGATAATGAGCCCAACTGTCTAGCTCCTGACCCCAGGGTCAAAAGCTGGGCTGGATGTCCTCTTCACAGGGATGGTCTCCCCGTTCGCCTCTACAGGAGATGTCCTGGTACGAGGTACCTGTGCCCCTCAACTCCTCTGAAACATCAAAGAATGGCTTCCCACTATTCCTATTTTTGTCTTCTTCTTATGTAACAAGTGGGCAGAGATGCAAAAACACTCGGAGTTTTCTGAGTTTAAACAGGCTAGATTTAGGGGGTTTAGATGACAGATCTCACAAGTAGGGGCAGTATGTCTGAGCTATTGAGCCCAGCAGCAAATATTTCTCTTCTCTTGGTCCAGACTCTGTGGCCAGACTCCCAGGAAGCCTTTAAGAGAACAGAGGGCCCTGGCCAAGGCTGGGTGCAAACTCTGAGGCCCAGTCACTAGGAAGAGCCCACCTGCTTTAAGAATTTCAATGGGCATGGCAAACTTTTTTGGAACCAATAAAAGTACATAAATACTGACAACTAACATTTTTCCAGCAAGCTTCTTTTCATAAGCTATCCATGATGCAGAACATCACGACAGGATTTGGTTTATGGTAACAATAGCTCTTGCCCCCCTGAGTGTCCCACCTGTTGCAAAGTCTATGTCCACAAGGCACTGTCGCCCCTCTGTGTTAGCAGCGTTCTTGCAAAATGGGAACCTTCTGCAAGCTCACTGCTCCTTTTCCTCAAGGCAAATGGTGTGCAGTAAATGAAGCGAAAAGGAAAAGGAAGAGGAAGCTTCCAGGGCTTGGGCGTCAAGGTCATTTGGGGCAGGTGATTGTTAACTCCTTAGTCTCACAGCCCATGCAAAGGAAGTTACTGAAGAAAGATCTCTCGGGGGCTGCCATGCCACTTCAGAGATCACTTCAGAATCCCCTCACATTCGCCTCAGGAAGACAAAGGGACCCAAGTCACAGTCTGGGAAACACATCAGGGTGGCTAGTGATGACTGCTGGAAATAAGAAGGCATATTTGGGGCATTAGATGTAGGTGGGATACTATGCTTCTCAGAATGGCAGTTTTCATCTATTGATAAAAATGGGGATATAAGCAAATAAATAAATGGGGATACTGTCATGAGAATTAAGTGTGTGTATGAATGCATGCAATGTATGCACAGTAATTTTCTTCATCAGGCATGGCTTCTAGAGCAGGCAGCTAATAAGATGCTTTTTGAGCCCAGGGGGCTAAGGTGAGGAACCCTCTGCTTCCTCAGGGGTCTGACCTAGGGCTTGGGAATGTGGCTTTCCATAACGGTGCACTCTGAAGTGGACCCCAGGCATCTCTTAGAGATGGCATCTCCAAAAACTCCACCTGGTGAAGATGATCAGATTCAAAGTCACACTTCATTCTGAGATGCAGATGTAAAAACAGACACAGGGCAGCCTGCATTTGACGGCATCCTTACAGACTGTCGGGGGAGTGTTACAGCCTGCTTGAAATCTGGAAGACCCCTGGATGAAGGCAGGGAACACAGGTGGCCAAAGAGCGGTGATTGGAGGTTGGAGGTGGCCAGAGCTGAAGTTGGTCTGGGACAAGCTGTTTTGGTAACTCCTTTTGTCCCGAAGCAATTGCCATTTTTAGTCGTGGAGACAAGGACCAAACAGATGCTGAGTTTCCTGTAAGTGTAAATTCAGATCAGCCAGGTGTAGACATATTCTTGAATCAATTTGAGGGCAGCTGAGGCTAGCCTAGTATTCTTGGTTTCTCATATGTGGTGGTTTAAAAATGTGTCAGCAAATTATCTGGCATTCATCCTTTCGGATTGTAGAGGCCTATTCTCCACCCCTTGAGTGTGGGCCAGATTTAGTGACTTGCTTCCAATGAACAGAGAGTGGGAGAAGTGAGTGATGGTTTATGACTTCTGAGACTAGGACATTAAGAGTATTGTGACCTCCTCCTTGAATTCCTCCTCTTCTGGGAGAAGCCAGTGTCATGTCATGAGGACCCTCAAGTGGCCTATGGGGAGAGGCTGAGATCCCCTTCTAATAACCAGTACCAACTTGTCGTTCAAGTTGAGTGAGCTACCTTGGATGTAGATTCACCAGCCTTCGCCAAACCTTCAGATAATTGCAACCCTGACCAACATCTTAATTTCACCTTCTGAGAGACTCCAAGAAAACTGCCCAGTTAATAGGCCTTTGAATGTCTGACCCACAAAAGATAATAAATGTTTACTATTGCTTTGAACTACAAAGTTTTAGGGTAATTTATTACATTGCACTGGGTAACTAATACGCTACAGAACCCAAACCACTACGCTCTTTAGTGAATATACATTTAGAATTGTAATGTCTTCTTGGTGGATTGACCCTTTTATCATTATCCAGTGTTCTTCTCTGTCCCTGGTAATGGTATTTACTCCAAAGTTGACTTTATCTGATATCTGACAGCTTCTCCCATTTTCTCCTGGTTAATGTTTGCATAGCATGTTTTCCCTAAATTTTTACTTTCAACCTTCAGATATCATCATATTTAAAGTGAGTTTCTTATAAACAACACATAATTGGGTCATTTTAAAAATCTGCTTTGCCAGCTCGGTGCCTATAGCTCAACTGGCTAAGGCGCTAGCCACGTACACCTAAGGTGGCGGGTTCGAATCCCTGGCCCGGACCCACCAAACAACAATGACGGCTGCAACCAAAAAAAAAAAATAGCTGGGCATTGTGGCAGGCATCTGTGGTCCCAGCTACTTGGAAGGCGGAGGCAAGAGACTCGCTTGAGCCCAGGAGTTGGAGGTTGCCGTGAGCTGTAATGCCACGGCACTCTACCCAGGGGGACAGCTTGAGGCTCTGTCTCAAAAAAAAAAAAAAATCTGCTTTGCCAGTCTCTGTCTTTTAATTGGTATATTTAGACCACTTATGTTAATGTAATTATAGATATGTTAAGGCTTAAGTCTGCCAACTGCTATTTTTCTGTTTATTCTCTTTTCATTTCTGCTTTCATATTTCTGCTTTCCTGTGGGTAACTTGAACATTTTTTAGAATTTATTTTGATTTATCTGTAGTGTTTTTTAGTATATCTATTATATAGCTTTTCTGATAGTTGCTGTAGATATATTATATATGATGTACATATATATACATATGATATTATCCTATAGCGTATTTATCAAAGTCTACTGGTGCAGACTTTTACTAGATTTTACTAGAGTGAATTGCAGAAAACTTGCTTCTCTTTACATCCTTTTACTCTCCCCATTTTTTTTTTTTTTTTGAGACAGAGCCTCAAGCTGTCACCCTGGGTAGAGCACTGTGGCATCACAGCTCACAGCAACCTGCAACTCCTGGGCTTAAGCAATTCTCTTGCCTCAGCCTCCCAAATAGCTGGGACCGACAGGTGCCCAGCACAATGCCCAGCTATTTTTTGGTGGTAGTTGTCATTGTTGTTTGGCAGGCCCAGGCCGGGTTTGAACCCACCAGCTCTGGTGTATGTGGCTGGCGCCTTAGCCATTTGAGCTACAGGAGTCGAGCCTACCCTCCCCATTTATAATATAATTGTCTTGAACATTCCTTCTATGTTCATTGAGAACCACATTAGATAGTGTTAGAGTTTTTGCCTTAATTGCCAAATATAATTTTAAAAACTTAAGGGAAGAAGGAAAATCTATGGTATTTTTCAGCATTTTTCTTACTATGTCCTTTCTTCATTCTCATGTTCCAAGATTACCTCTCTTATTTTATTATTTATTTATTTATTTTTTGAGACAGAGTCTCAAGCTACTTCCCTGGGTAGAGTGTTGTGGCATCACAACTCACAGTAACATCAAACTCTTGGGTTTAAACGATTCTCTTGCTTCAGCCTCCCAAGTAGCTGGGACTACAGGTGCCCGCCACAATGCCCGGCTATTTTTTCGGTTGCAGTTGTCATTGTTGTTTTAGCTGGGTTCGAACCGGCCAGCCTCAGTTTATGTGGCCAGTGCCCTACCCACTGAGCTACGGGCACTGCCTGATTCTTCTCTCTTTTTTTTTTTTTGCAGTTTCTGGCCGGGGCTGGGTTTGAACACGACACCTCTGGCCAGCGCCCTACTCCTT